ACATTTGCTGTCTCTTGTATCACGATTCAAGCGCAGGCATTGACCATACATCAATATCACCTCGTACTGTAACTGAGGATGGAGGGTTCCAGACCTTTAGGGGTGGGATGACGTCCTCAACAAGTACAAGTGCTGGTATATGCTAGTAGGTGTACAGCACTGTTTACAAGTAATGTACAATACCCTGCGAAACTTCGGTAGGGAAATCTTGTAGAAAGAGTCAAATTAGTCAATTACGAATGAGATTTTTTTATGAAAATAGTAGTAAACGAAATTATATTTATAATGAAATGAAGAAATATTATTCTTTCCATTCAGCTTAGAATTCATTTGTTTTCATGACACCTATTTAAAAACATAAGCAATTCTTAGGATAGCATTCCTTCGTGAAAAGCTAATAGTTGTTCAACTATTCAACACATTTCTCGCCATATATTGAAATTTAAGGTTTAATGTCGTGTTTACATTAGTGTCCTTGAATCTCATTCGATCCAGACTAATCTAGTCCACAAAACCTCATCCTGTTTATTTAATATTAATTTTAATAGTATCTTCCCATGTATGCAAAGGTCTCTCTAATTCAGCTTTCTCCTTCATTTTTCTAGCCAAAATTTCTTACGAATTATCTAAAACATACACAATTCTACATTTAAAACTACGTTTTTCTGTTTATTTTGCATGATACGAAACTTTAAACCCGGTCGTCGGAACAATGTGTTTAAGAAAACATTTTTAACAGACAGATAGGAAGACGTAAATAAACGATAAACGTTGACACGTGTCTTAGATATAGATGTTGTGTTGGAACAAACAGCTTCAGAATATTACCCAATGGCAAGATTTCTTGAACACAATTATACAGCTGAGATATGAGGTTATCACGGTAAAGAACGTGAACATCGCTGTCTTCTAGGATATTTCAGAGGTGCTTATTGCAATCATTATAAATACTCATGATCCTGATAATGAAATCATTTAGAACATCTGAAGCTTCTATCAGTATCTTACTAACTACACCGCGCAGCATCTCAGGAGACAAACATTTTCACTCGGCTTCGAGTTCCTGTAAAACAGAAGACAATCTTAACAAAGACAAATATAAACTTTTAAAGGAAGATTGTGTCACTGATTTTGTTATGCAAGGCGGTTCAATCTGTGCCAAGATGTTATTTGTTCTGCATATTTTATTGACGTATTTAAATTTTAACTTTAACCAAACTTCATCCCTTGAGAACAGATTTCTTACATTACTGTGGATATACAGATACTGAAAAAAGGAATGGCGTATAGCCGTTGTTTTTAAATACGCTTAAAACTGTTTACTATTCCAATCCCTGTTTACTGCTTTAATACCTCAGCAGCTTTGTATCCGTCTCCTTTCCTAGCCCCCTTCATTTCCATCTCAATCCCGTATTATGACTCAATAATGCCTCGTTGGTTGCTGAGGGAAGCATTCTACTTGGCCAATTAAAATTATTCATTTCGCTCTATAAGGAGTGCATAACAAAATTACTGTTTAAAAGCTTAAATACATTAAAAACTGAATAGATTGCTAAATACTTTGTTAATTAAAACAAAATTCTATTAACGTTACTTTTTTCGTATCAAAGCAGCAAGTTTGTGGGCGTTTTGATTTAGATTATAAAGTGATGACATTTTTGTATTTATGGTTTGGGAAAATTTTTTTCATTGCATATTTTATACGAAAACCTGCAAGTGCATCAGTGTTATTTTATAAGTGTAAAATCTGCCACGTACATACCGAAAGGAAAATGGGACATTATTAAAATTTGTCTCGTTTAAATAGCTGTACATCGGAGTGGCGTTTTAGCCTTCATTCAATAGTTAAATCTCATTCATTTATCCTTACCTGATGAAATGCATCCTGTTAATATACCTTAGATAAAGAACAACATTCGACCTATTGATCAATGACAGTGACCTGATTCAATCAACTGCAAATTTATTGAGAGGTCGGCAATGAAGAGCGCCGCATTATCTGAGGTGGTTGGTCTCGATTTATCGAAACTAGAGAATTAGACTTTTGTGTAGTATAACACCAATCTAGCTGTCGTGCGAAATCTTACTCAGCCTTTTGTTTGTTGGTGATACCGAATGGACCACTGCAACTACGCACACGAAATTTAGCGTGGATGTCGGTAATATACGTATCTGCATGATCTGTCTACAACGGAAAGTTACAAACAAGCGCGCCTTATATTTGTCATGTCTGTTTGTCCCTCGGTTCCCATGAAGCGTATCGAAAAGCAGAACAATCTCTTATGGAATGTTATAGTTGAGAGATTTGAATGAAATAGGTTGATAATTTACAATTTTAAGAAGAATCGGACAAAAATGACGGACACTTTATGTTATGATCTACTTGTTTTTCTGTGCTAGTCATGAGCGCAACTCGCAAAATATTTATCCAAGTGAAAAATGTTTCATAGGAATATGTTCAATATTACTTGGTTAGGAATTTTTATTTTTCTGATGATATTAAAGGTAATTATAACTCGAGAACCTTTGGATTCATTTTAATTATGTTTACTATATGGGAAAGCTGTACTCCGCGCCTATTCGACGCTATTTATGCGAGAACATCTAAAGTTAGAATTCGCAAACTGAAACTCTAAAGACAGAAACAGTGTGCAGGCGCCAATATAATTACGTTATGCATACATTTCTTCAATATTTTATGTTAACAAACATTAATATGATGATGGTATTAAACTTGCAGATTGTAAGTGGGAAATTTAATTAAACGGATATTGTGTTAGTGGAAATTGGACAGTAAATATAAATTGGTAATTAAATAAAATATTGAATAAATAATTATTTTTGTTACACCAGTTGAAGTAAAGATAGACATTGTAAGTTCTTGGCAAAACTGCATCTTAAATAAGGGAGTATTTTTTAAATATCAATGTAATGGACTTCGTGTGATAATTAAACTTTTACTTGAAATTTCAACAGAAAATTTGTGTTCATCCCTCTTTTTAGACAATCCCTAATTCGTAACATACTTTCTCCATCTGATTGACAGGCTTTTGATGCTTTTGACTCGATGTTCGAGTAGAGTGTAAAGTGCATTGAAACACAGAGATGACGTGGACCGACAGGCTGTTTCAGGGGAAGAATCGCAGAAAATTAATCATGACTTAAAAGTGTACTTTGGCGAAAAATATGCATATACCCAGAGTAAAAACAGTATTTTATAATATTGAAAAAACTGTTAAAATAGATCCAAATAGATGCAAAAAGAGCATATCGTTTAGAAAACTTTATCTTTATTGCTTATTAAGTTTTTATTTACTCAACTTAAGAATAAATTTTTGTTTTCGGATTTTAAAATTATTATTTGGGTTTTTAACAACGTAAACTTTTCTTTGTATACAGACACGCAAACAAAATATTTGTTTTAAGAACTTGTCACTAGGACTGTTACAACATTTTAAAATTACACTTAAAAACGTTTCCTGTACAAGATAAACACTTTCTTACTAATATATTGTTAAGTGTTTATACTGCTGCCAAATTTGGTACGATTCCGATTACTTTTTGTTTATTATTTGCTTAAGATTGGGACAAAACAAGGAAGCACACGTCACAGACTAAGTAGTGTTTTGTTGAAAGTCACATGATTGTGTGGAGAAACAAATTACGGAAATACAGAGATAGGTAAATAAATATAAGGGATGGGAAAATGAAAGATAAGGAGATATAAATGGAGGCATAAATAAATAATCAAATAAATAAATAATTGAAAAGAAGCAAATAATTAAACAAAGGGGAAGAGAACATCAGTAAGAGAGACGGGAAAATGTAGAAGAAAGGTAAATTAAAATCTATATGAATAAAGATAAATAAATTGATAAAGAGAAAGGAGGGCAACAATGAAGAATTAAAGAACAGAGGAAGAGTGAAGTAGGGGTGAATAAAGGATGGCATAAAACAGGGATGGAAGAAAACAAAGAGAAGTCGACAGAAAGAAAGAGGGAGGAGGAAGCAGAAGAAGAGAATACAAGGGAAAAAGAGAGACATATATAAACGGGAGAAAGGAAGAATGTTAGTTGGTGACAGATGTTCACTTCGGGCGCTATCCCAGCCTTACGATTTGCCTCACATCCCTATCTTGACCTGTGAAAAGTCAAATAATTATTTCCAAATTAGTGAAGATAGAAAATCGCTTTTCCTGTATGATGCAAAATAATGCAGTAATTTGTTTGGGTTACGAATGTCGGTGAAAAAGCTTTTCTGGCCATCTGTGAACAATTACGATATCAAATAATGTCAGAATTGTTTTACCATGTCAATATAACAGATTTATTTAACGTGGAAAAATATAATTTTCCCTAAATGAGCTGTCAGGTTTTAAATAAGCTGTTTGTTTCAGCGGTTATTCGTAGCTAATCATCGGTAATGGGGAGATTCGCAATTTACCAGAGTTCCAGAATAAAATCAAAAGTCGGATGATTTATGACGTTACAGATATTTTAGTTGAGGGCTCAGTTTCTGAAGCGGTTAGTCTGGAACGCAATACCATGGTTTAACGATGGAATATATGGGGGGGGATGTGTTGTGTCAGAGGCGGGCATGACCATTTTTGTTACCAGTGGTAAATAATCTCAGACAGGTTCTTTAGCAATAACGTCAGAGTGACTCTGGTAATAGAAGCAGAAAGTTAAACACCGCTAATAATAAAGCTCAAGGATAATGTTACATTGAATGGGTCTCCCAGCACGCTCTGGTACGTGAACAAACTATTTCCGAATATCCCAGAAAGATGTTTTAGAACTTTTTAAACTGTATTGTACAAAGTTTCTAATAATTACGTCGGATGCTACTAGTATGCATATTACCTTCGACGTTAGGAGCATAATCAATTAGTCGTAGATATAGTTATTCATTTTATCTCTTACTATCCTTTTAGATTTTTTAAATGAATATCAATTTTCACTGGTGCAAAATTGTAAGGTGTTTTCTTTATAAAATTAAAGGGAGACCACAATTTGCCCAGGGATGGCCAACGCCTTGAAACAGCTCTGACTGCAAAATGGATAATACAGCCGTATTGTGGTACCATATCCTGGCTCGGACCTTACGAACGGACTGTATTAAAACTTCGGGCAAGGAAGGAGAAGAAGAAAAGAATGTGAGAAAGAAATATTGAGCAAAAGAGTTACCTGTAAGTGTTATGTGTCTTTTCTTTTATTTTCTTATCTCATTTCTCTTTATCCTAACAGAACTACCGCCAACCTTCATTTCTTTCTGCTCTTACAAAACTCCCTCTTATTATATTCTCCACTCTTCTCTTTGCTGCTAACACAGAATCTTCAACTTCTTCAGTTAATGAACTCATCAAGGGAAGCCATTGCCTTATCAGTCAAGAACGCCGTGTCTTGAAATGCTGTCTGTTTTTCAATATGTTCTGTTCTTACAGTACCAACGTGTTACCGTAATCTACGTTTACTTCCAAGGTCTTTTCATATTACACTTAATGGTATACTGTAAATATGCTCCCTCAGTACACAACACTCCCACATTTATACAATGTCACAAGCAAATTAGATTTAGCTTTCTATTCAATAAATACCAGAAACTCTTTTTCTGGATTAAAGGCGATTTGAATGTGGGATCACTCACCATCTAATATTGAGTTAAAGAATTAGAGGTACTTTACTTAGGGTCCCCCATATATCTTCATTGCATTTTACTTGGGTACGAGAAAAGCCTGAACCTATTTATTTACGACGCTGGAATTAACTTGTGTGACGTATCTTCAAACAAGATTTGTTTTGCGTAATCTTATCAGGAAACATGAAGGCGCTCGGAAGGGTGAACCTACAGCTGAAAATCTGAACCACTTTATCGTACTGTCATAATTTATTTAAACGATTCTCAAATAAAGGAACTTAACGCACAAGGAGCAGCAGGCATTTTAACTAGTCTCAAACCCTTTACAGTCCTTACTAAAAGATGATAAGAATAAGGATTTGAGGTTTTCACTGCGGTGTTCGAAGATAGCTGCCTTCTGGGTTGATGTGCCTTGTAGTCTGTTAAAACTACACGGTGCATCAACCCAGAAGACAGCCATCTTATAATGAGGATTATTCATGGATACCCCTGATTTTGAATGTTCGAGACTACTTGAGAACTACTTTGCCTCATTCAAGAACTTGAGACGTCAAATTAAGTACAGTTCTAGATTCTAATGAGTCCGCAAGAGCAAGCTTCTTCTGACTGTGTCTGTAATTGGAAAACTTGGCGTCTTTTAAAGACACTGTTGTTACTTCTCTTTGGGTTTTAACTAGTGTCTGATTTCTTCTGTGGAAATCTTTCTCACCGCTTCACCAAATTAGATTTTAAGTGAGACTCGATTTTCATGTTGAATCGAGAGATAAGAATTATAAATGTTGGAAATGTATGATTAGGTTAAACAACAAACGGAATGATCACGTATTCACATTAAGTACTACTCCAGACAGACGATTTAGGTGGAAACTATCGGCTAAACAGGATATACTAAGAAATAAGATAGTTCTTTCATGAAAGATGGTAGGAAATCCACTAAAAGGAGATAAAATAAAGCGAAAATATTCCACAACAAACTGCTCATGAAATACTCAGACCCAAAAGAAGATGTAATTTATGCTTCTCACTAGATATGGCAAATATGTCAGTGAGGGTGAGATGGACAGGATATGTAGGAAGCACAGGGAAGATGAAAAACTTCATTGAAATGTGAGTCTGCAAAGCTTAAGCGGAGGATAATATTAAAATAATAATAGGAGAATAATATTAAAAAGGGTGTTTGAGTTAGAAACGGTATGAAAGTACGGAAGAATTCAGATAACTCTGGTTTTATTACTTTACAGAATTTTCTCAAACACGATACTGAATTTTAGGGTTCCACAAGATGCAGGAACTTTATGTGAGCTGAGAAATTATTACATTTTCAGGAATTGATATGCACCATAGAAATAGCCTTTCAGAGGTCCTTGCTGTTTCCATCATCAGGGAGAGTCATCGGCCTTATGATGGAAACAGTAAACTACTACCAGATTACGTGACATTAGAATCCAGAAGACGATAATCTTTGGTGAATCTAACTCAAATCCTAAACAATTTTTGATTTTTAAATCCCTTTCTGATGTTATCCTCCTAATGACAGCTGGGCTTAAAAGTTTTTTATCCCAGATCTTTCGACTGAAACGCTTATGCACTTCTCATGTACTCTGTGCGTGCTACATATCCCAGCCATGTCATACACTTTGGTTTAATCTACATATTTATACTAGGTGACGAGTACAAGTTACT